GCTAGTATGTGGTCTATTCTGGAGAATGTTCCATGTGCACTTGAGAAGAATGTATATCCTGTTGCTTTTGGATGTAAAGTTCTATAGATGTCTATTAGGTCCATCTGTTCTAGTGTGTTGTTCAGTGCCTGTGTGTCTTTACTTATTTTCTGCCCGGTGGATCTATCCTTTGGGGTGAGTGGTGTGTTGAAGTCTCCTACAATGAATGCATTGCAGTCTATTTCCCTCTTTAGTTCTGTTAGTATTTGCTTCACATATGCTGGTGCTCCTGTATTGGGTGCATATATATTTAGAATGGTTATATCCTCTTGTTGGACTAAGCCCTTTATCATTATGTAGTGGCCTTCTTTATCTCTTGTTACTTTCTTTGTTTTGAAGTCTATTTTGTCTGATATTAGTACTGCAACCCCTGCTTTCTTCTCACTGTTGTTTGCCTGAAATATGTTTTTCCATCCCTTGACTTTTAGTCTATGCTTATCTTTGGGTTTAAGGTGAGTTTCTTGTAAGCAGCATATAGATGGGTCTTGCTTTTTTATCCATTCTATTACTCTATGTCTTTTGATTGGTGCATTAAGTCCATTTACATTTAGGGTGACTATTGAGAGATATGTACTTATTGCCATTGCAGGCTTTAGATTCGTGGTTACCAAAGGTTCAAGGTTAGCTTCTTTAGTATCTTACTTCCTAACTTAGCTCGCTTATTGAGCTGTTATATACACCGTCTGGAGAATCTTTTCTTCTCTCCCTTCTTATTCCTCCTCCTCCATTCTTTATATGTTCGTTGTTTTATTCTGTGCTCTTTTGTGTTTCCGTTAACTGCTTTTAGTGGTTAGTTGATTTTATTTTTTGCCTTTAGTTAGTATTTGGTTGGTCTGCTTTCTTTGCTGTGATTTTGTGTTCTCTGGTGACATCTGTTTAATCTTAGGAGTGCTCCCATCTAGAACAGTCCCTCTAAAATACCCTGTAGAGGTGGTTTGTGGGAAGCAAATTCCCTCAACTTTAGCTTATTTGGGAATTGTTTAATCCCTCCTTCATATTTAAATGATAATTGTGCTGGATACAGCATCCTTGGTTCAAGGCCCTTCTGTTTCATTGCATTAAATATATCATGCCATTCTCTTCTGGCCTGCATGGTTTCTGTTTAGAAGTCTGATGATAGCCTGATGGGTTTTCCTTTATAGGTGACCTTTTTCTCTCTAGCTGCCTTTAAAACTCTTTCCTTGTTCTTAATCTTTGCCATTTTAATTATTATGTGTCTTGGTGTTGTCCTCCTCGGGTCCTTTCTGTTGGGAGTTCTGTGTATTTCCGTGGTCTGTTCGATTATTTTTCCCCTATTTTGGGGAATTTCTCGGCAATTATTTCTTCAAAGACACTTTCTATCCCTTTTTCTCTCTCTTCTTCTTCTGGTACCCCTGTAATATGGATATTGTTCCTTTTGGACTGGTCACACACTTCTATTAATATTGTTTCATTCCTGGAGATCCTTTTATCTCTCTCTGTGTCAGCTTCTATGCATTCTGTTCTCTTGTTTCTATTCCATCAATGGCCTCTTGCATCTTATCCATTCTGCTTATAAATCCATCCAGGGTTTGTTTCTCTTCTGTAATCTCCTTCCTGGCATCTGTGATCTCCCTCTGGACGTCTGTGATCTCCCTCCGGACTTCATCCCTTAGCTCTTGTATATTTCTCTGCATCTCCGTCAGCATGTTTATGATTTTTAGATTGAAATCTTTTTCGGGAAGACTGGTTAGGTCTGTCTTCTTCTCAGGTATTTATATCATATACTTTTATTTATGGAGATAGTTTTTTCTTTTTAATGTTAATGTTAATTACCTTTTTTAAGTATGTTCTGGTGTTATAATATTTTGCATACTGGAGTAAATCCAACTTGGTCATAATGTTTCATGTACTCAGTTTTACTGTTGGGTTTTGTTTGCTAATATTTGTTTTTGAGATTTTTACATCCACTTGTAAGGAAGAGAGGTTTTTGTCTGTCCTTGTCACATCAAAGTTATGTTGGCCTTGTGGAATGAATTGGGAATAATTCCACTGCCAATTTCCTGGAAGAGCTATATGATGCTGGAATGATTAGTTCTTTGACTGTTTGGAAGAACTCACTTGCAAAACTGTATCTAGGCATGATGCAGAGATTTAAGTACTGATTCAATTTCTAGAGGACAATTTGGTTTGGTTTGTGTTTATTGCTTCTTGAATCAGTTTTGACTTAATTTTCTTGGGACATTTCCACTAATTTTGAGTTTTAATTTTCATGGATTACAGTTGTTCATGGTAATTTTGTTTTTACTCTAGTACTAAGCACATAACGTGAGATCTATCCTCTTAACTTTAAGCGTACAGTACAGTATTATTGTTGACCACAAGCAGCGCATTGTTGTTCAGCAGAGTTGTAGAACTTTTCTGTCTTATATAACTGAAGCTTTATACCCATTTAACAGCAGCTCCCATAGATTTGGAGGTCATTTCCTTTTCCTTTTTTTCATTCCTAATACTATTCATTTGTGTCTTTTCTGTTCTTTTTTTCCCCCTCCCTTGATCACTCTCCTCGTGATTTGTCACTCGGGCAAGTCTTTATTGTTCTCTTCAAAGAACCAGATTTTGCCTTTGTTGAGCCACTTCATTTTGTTTCCCATTTGATCAATATTTGCTCTTTTCTTTTTTCCTTCCTTTGGTGTGGTTAATTTTGTTCTTTTTCTAACATTCTTACTAGTTGAGATGACTGTTTAGCTCATTAATTTTGAGTTTTTATTTTCCAGTATAAAAATCTTAGTGCTGGTAAGTAACATTTTTGTCAGACAATTCTGAGTATTTTTCAAGTTCCATTGTAATTTTTTTCATTGACCCATGGGTTATACGAAATATTGTAAATGTGCATTTCCAAATATAAGAGGATTTTTAAATAAGAATTTTTTGTATTTAATGACTTCTAATTCACTGAATTATTTTGATTAGAGAATTTTGTGTTTTTGATAATTGGTTTTTGAAATTTGAATTTACATTGTGGTCTTTCACGTAGTTTTTATAATATTCTGTCTGTTGTTGAAGAATGTCAGTTCTTTAATGTTGGATGCTGTATAGTTTTGTGAAAATCCTCAGTAATTTAAGGATACTGTAGTTTACTTATGCTCCTTCGATCATTTTTTTTGCTATTACAAGGAGTGCTTATAACAACCTCTTTATGTGTATCTTTGTTACTATCTGAGTATATCTAGAGGAGAAATACATTTGAGTACACTTAAAAAATATGTATTCTTCTAAATTGTGATCAAGATCCAGCTTTTATTTCTTTTTTTAAAATAACTGGAAGTTGGTACCTTTTTATGCCTTTACCTACTCCTCTCTTTTCTCTGTCTTCACCCCTCTGGCAACCAACAGTTTGTTCTCTGTATTTATTATTAGTCTGTTTCTATTTTTTGTTCATTTGTTTTCTTAGATTCCACATGTAAATAAAATCGTATGGTATTTGTCGTTCTTTTTCTTATTTCACTTAGCATAATACCCTCTAAATCCATCCACTGCAACAGCAAATAGCAAGATTTCATTCTTTTTTTATGACTAATATTCCTTTGTGTATATATGCCATATCTTTATCCATTCATCTATTGTTGGACACTTAGGTTGCTTCAGTATCTTGGCTATTGCCAGTAAGCTACAGTAGGCATAGAGATACATGTATCTTTCTGAATCAGTGTTTCCAGTTTCTTTAGGTAAATACCCAGAAGTAGAATTACTGGATCATATGGTAATTCATTTGTCATTTTTGGGAACCCTCCATACTGCTCTCCATAGTGGCCGCACCAGTTTGCATTCCCACCAACAGTACGCAGGGCTCCCTTTTCTCCACATCATCGCCAACAGTTGTTATTTGTTGTCTTTTGAATACTAGCCATGTGACTGATGGGAAGTGTTATCTCATTGTGGCTTTGATTTGCATTTTTCTGATGATGAGTGATGTTGAGCATCTTTTCATGTGTCTGTTGGCCATCTCTGTGTCTTCTTTGGGAAAATGTCTATTCAGGTTCTCTGCCCATTTTTTAATCAGATTTCTTTGTGTGTGTTTTTACATTTTGGATATTAGCCCTTTATTGAATGTATCATTCACACACATCTTCTTGAATTCAGTAGGTTGCCTTTTCATTTTGTTAATGGTTTCCTTTGAAAAACCTTTTCAGTTTGTTGTAGTCCCACTTGATTATTTTTGCTATTGTTTTCCCTTCTCTGGGAAGACAAACCTCCCTCACCACAAAAAAATAACTGCTAATGCCATTTTCAACAGTTCCTTGTGTATGCTTTCTTTTAGGAGTTTTATATTTTCAGGTCTTATATCTAGGTCTTTAATCCATTTTGAGTTTTTTTGTGTGTACAGTGTAAGAAAGTGGTGTTCTTCTTTTGCATGTAGTTAACTGTCCAGTTTGATGATACTGTCTGACAGGGAAACGTTGTATATATACCTTGCCTCCTTTCTTATAGATTGATTGACTATGTAAGTTTGGATTTATTTCTGGGCTCTCTACTCTGTTCCATTGATCTGTGTGTCCTTTTTTTTGTGCTGAGATTGATCCAGTTTATAGCTTCAAGGTAGTGTATGATTTGTGCTTGTTGTCCTATATCCTGACTATTCTTGGTATTAGCAAACTGAAAACTGTTTTCCTACCAGTCCAGTGTTCAATAAAGCCATTCCTTCTTTTGGTTTCCAGTTTCTTTACCTATGAGTGAAATTTAGTCATTTATTTTTCTTCTGGCGAAGTACCTATTCTTACAGCCCATTTTTCTACTAGAACTATTTGTTTTTCTTATTGTTGTGTAGCATTTCTCATTTCCCATGTGGGTGGCACATTGAAAAGGTTTAAAGTTTGCATACCATCAAGATACTGTTATTTTGATTTGCTTCAAAATGTTATTTGCTATGTTTAGAAATGGATGTTGGACGTTTTCAAGGAGATCATTTCATGACATGGGGATTTGCCTCTGGGAGGAGTTTGGGGAACGGAGGTAAGTATCTTTGTCTTCTCAACTGTTGAATAGTGGAATGACTAGAGGCTTTTATGGCTCTTTACTGCAAAGCTGCATCTCATACAACTCAAAGCACTGTAGACTTTGCGATGAGTTCATCATTTTTTTGAATGGTGGTATTCTTTCGGCTTTTTTACTATGGTAAAAGATAAGATAGTAGAAAATAGTTAAATTGATTAGATTGGTTGGTTAAAGATAGTTGCTTCACAGAGTTGCTGCTTAATGTGTTTTTGATTATTGATTTCCAACAATTGTGATGGGAAGAATGTAAAAGCCTCAGAAATTAGGGTGAGAAGGACCTCTTTTTTGTTCTGTACTTTTGAAGAAAAGGCAGAACAGGAAGCTTTTTTCTGAGCTCATTAGTAGTAAAAGGTTATTTTCGTAGGCCTGAGATTTTTTACTTTTAGAAGAACCCAGCCCTTGATTTGACTGGATAACGGCATAGCAAGATACTCTCTACAGTGCATTTTTAGATTTGATACTAAAAGGCTGAAAATATTCTGCACTATGTTTTATTATAATGCAATCAAATATTATATAGAACCTCAAATTAAATTTGAAAATACATATTACCATTAGTTTCTTTTATGGTGTGTCAGAAGCTAGGGCCAGTTGGTAGTTTTAGGCATATGTAGCAGTTATTCTTGAATTTATTAGATGTTATTCTTGGAAGAATTTTATTTCTAGATATTTTTATTCATTTGAAACTAAATGTGTTGATATGTGGTGTTTCATTTGATATTTGGAAAACTTAATTTCTTGTTTAGAGACAGTTGATACAAATGTGAATTTTGTATTTTGACACGTTCCTGCTTTTCTCAGTGTGCATATGCATTTTGTTTTTTAAGCCTGCATATTAATAAGTAAGAAGCATTAATGATCTGGATCATGTAATTGTGCTAAGAGCTTCAAGTGTGGGTTTGTTTGCTACTACTAACATTAGAAATAGTAAATGTCTTAATATTATTCTTACAGGAATGTTTAATATTTAGATGTATTCCTATTTTAGAATAGGTTAGGTGATTTTTCTTATGTGATACATTTTGTTACAGACTTGTAATAAACATTGTTGAATTACAGTGAGAATTATTTCTTTTTGTAATAGCAAAAGGTAAATGTAATTTTTAAATGAGAAAACCATCACCGAAACAGATTTTATTGCAAATTGTTAATTTCATATGCTTTAGGTGAAATACACATTAACCTTCTGATCAAAACTCTGTTGTAAGTTAACACTTGAGAAAGTTATCTTTATATTGCATATAATCCTGGAAGTTCACAGACCCATGAGTATAACTTCTTTCCATTATGATTCATCCAACATTTTAGTTTCAATCTCTATGATATTTTTTCTTAAAACTTGCATAGCTGGTGATGCCTTTTTGAAATTGAGTCTTAATTGGTTGTAACATAATCTTGATTAGCAATTCATGTTCTGTGAAATATGGCCTAAATAGCCTTCGCTTCTTGAGTCGCACACAACTTAAGAAGCTGATGAAAATACTGAGAGTTGTTCATACACAATTTTGCAAGTGACTTTAAAGTGTCACAGAGTCCTTAACTCCCCTGTATTAGGATATTGCAGAGATAGTAAGACAGTTTATGAGGATCACAAGAGCCTCGTAAATTTGCTTTACTTTTTGTAGAGGACCGTGTTAAAGTGGCAGTTTATGCCATCTTGGATGTCCGTTCTAATTTTTTGTTTTAAATAACCATGGCCCTTGCCATAGCTACTATGCCCTCAAATTCTTAATCTAATGGTAGAGAAACACATGGAAACAAATACTACTAAAAAGATAGTATGCTGTGGGAATGTGAGGAAGAATTGATGAGGACTGGAGGACTGAAGGAAGACGTCAGACAAGAGGTGGCCTTGGAACTGGCTTTTTGAAGAGTGAAAAGAATTTTGATAGGAAAAATAGGAAAGTAGGGAATGCCATTCTGAAGGAACAGCTGGTAGGAAGGTACAAAATGTTACAAGTTCACAATGTGGAGTATGGGAAGTTGTTTGTGGTGAATTAAAATGCTGGGTGTTCAAAGTTGAGTAGTTGGAGATAAAGCTCAGAAGGATAATTTGGGGAAATACCATGGAGCGGTGGGGCTGTGACTAGGGTAGTGGCATTCGTTTTTTTTCTTAACTATGTTTTAAAGTGGGAAGTTTTAAATATAATTTAGTTTTAAAGTGGGAAGATTGAGAGTGACGTAAGTACTAGAAATTTTAGTTTTAAAGTGGGAAGATTGAGAGTGACGTAAGTACTAGAAAGATGAATAAAAATAAGTAGAATAATTAAAAAACAGGACAAAAGTATAAAGTTTTTAACAATGACTTTTGCACAGGGGCATAGTGTAAATAACTGGCTCTATCAGGGTGAGGTTTTAATTTACAGAAAACCACACAGTTGAATTTCCTGATTACAGGTTGCTAATAAAATAACAACTAATAGGAAGCTATATAATCCACCAGTAGGATATTTATGCTTTTACTTTGGTATCAGAATTTAAATGAGAGGTTTTTTTTTTTAAAGAAATTGCAGGTATATCTTTATAAGTTCCTATACTACTCTGTCCCCATTCTTGGAAGTCCGCTTACCCCAAAGATTCATTTAATTCCTAGTTTTTTAGGACAGATTTAATTTTGTGTTTTAAATAGTTTTTACTCCATCTGAACTTTTTCAGATGCTGGCACGTTTAATAAGAGAGAGAATACATCCACAATGGGTGGTTTTGGAGTTTTTGGACTGAGAGGTAACCTGCTTGTGATATCTTACAATCAAAATTTGAGCGACCCCATGTTTTCTGAGTTTACATTTCCCTTTAAATATACATAGAAAGTATGTGCCTTTTCCAAGAATTTATGGGGATCACAAGGGAATGCTTCCACTTTCCTAGTCAGTCAGTTGCAGTAATTTATGCTGCTTCGGGTGTGTCTGCTATTCCATTTATTTTTTTTCCTTTTTTTTAAATAGCCACATTATTTGCTGAAACACCTCTTCAAATTGATTTATGCCACAGGTGAACCCCAGTTTTCTTCTGTACTCAAGATCCTCTCTTCCCTCCCCAACAGGAGATCCATCTTATATTTCCGAAGATGAATTTGAGTCTTCATCTTAGTTGCACAAAGAACAAGTAGAGTCTTTGAAATTATGTTTTTTCCCTTAAAAATTAACTGTAGATCAGAACTTAGGCAGAGACCAACAGTGTGTATGTAAGTGGAAGACTTTCCTAAGCATTTTGGAAACCTGTCACTTGGCTACTTTGGGGAGGGTAGAATGGAGAGAAAGGGTCAATTGTAGAGAACAGAATATAATCCTTTTCTGAACCATCTTCAAAGATTGCAGATATTTAAATGAAATAACTCAAAACTTAGTTTTTGTGATAATACACATTCTGTATGGATTATCTTTATTTTGAAATTACATATTGGCTCAAGGAAAAACTTTTTTGTCATCCAATCACATATTGAGGTAATAATATACTTATTTTTATATGCTAATTGTGTTCTAAGTTTCTATGGAGTTTTATGTTGGAAGGGATGTTAGATTTTTTTGAACCTGAAATGTTAAGTGACTTTATGTATATATTTTACATACAAATTTAACAGCTGTCAAACTGTAATTCATTAGTCTCTATATTATATAAGGGTAATTTAATATATTTAATATTTTATAATTTAGATTAAATAATGATTGACAGGCATCCTATATTAACAATTTTAAGATATATTACTCCCTGGTTACCTTTTTAATAAAGATCATTTTATTAAGATTCAGCATTTACAAATATTATGAAATATTACTGATAGATGCTTTTAAACTTAATTTTAGGGGTATGTCTATATGCTAGAGAGATGAATAAATCTATACATAGGTTTTTATTAAATTAGAAATTTGAAAGCACAGCTTGATAGAAGATTTAAAAAATATTTTGTAAACAAAAAGAAGGTGCAAGATTTCCCTTATTACTGAGAAGAGAAAATTTATTAAATATTGGATTATCACTTAATGAAGAGTTAATGAGTTTATAAAATTTTTAAATTATCTGTTATTTTTAATAGAAAGTACATACTGCTTATACTGACCCTGACATATTCCTCTGTTTTGCCCCCACACATACAGAAGAATATATGACATTTGAGGTAATATAACATTGGCTGACATTTGTTCCTTAACACCAGGCAGAAATTGTAATACAACCTCTATACGTTCTCATTCAGTACTGATACAAGTTGTATGTGGTTTATCTTATTTCAAGGGGATAACTAGTAGTCCCTATAAGTTTTTGTTTTTTAAACTACACAGGTTTAGGAAATAGTTGTTTTCAGAAATTTTCAAGTTTGAATTTATATTTTTATAGGCTTTTCCAATAACAAATTTGAAGAAGCTGATCGTTCTGCTTTCTGGAGAGGTAAGTTCAGTGTTTTTTGTAATGACTTTTATTTTTATTTATTTATTTTTTTAAGGCTCCATATTTTATTTTCTTTTGAGGTTTGAGAGTAGGGACAAGGTAGTCTTTGAAAACTCAGTTTGAGAGGAGAAGCATGTACATAATTTCATTGGTGAGTTTTTGGTGGGGGGTCAATTATATCATATTATTAAATAGTCTTATTTTTATTTTTATTTTTTTATAGCTGCATAATATGCTTTAATATCTGTTATCTCTATTCTTCCTTTTCTTTTTAAACCTTCCTTTTACAGAAGATGCCTGGGTATTACTGGATTTTTTATTTTTCTAGGTTACTTTTTTTTTTTTTGAGAGGGCATCTCTCATGTTTATTGATCAAATGGTTGTTAACAACAATAAAATTCTGTACAGGGGAGTCAATGCTCAATGCACAATCATTAATCCACCCCAAACCTAATTCTCGTCAGTCTCCAATCTTCTGAAGCATAACGAACAAGTTCTTACATGGTGAACGAATTCTTACAGAGTGAATAAATTCTTACATGGTGAACAGTACAAGGGCATTCATCACAGAAACTTTCGGTTTTGATCATGCAATATGACCTATAAACCATCAGGTCAAATATGAATATTCATTTGATTTTTGTACTTGATTTATATGTTGATCCCACATTTCTCCTATTATTATTATTATTTTTATTTTTAATAAAATGCTGAAGTGGTAGGTAGATGCAAGATAAAGGTAGAAAACATAGTTTAGTGCTGTAAGAAGGCAAATGTAGATGATCAGATGATCAGGTGTGTGCCTATGGACTAAGTATTAATCCAGGCTAGACAAGGGCAGCAAGACATCCACGGATGCAGAAGATTTCTCTCAAAGCAGGGGGGGTGAGGTTCTGAGCCTCACCTCTGTTGATCCCCAAATTCTCACCTGATGGCCCCCCTGCGACTGTGCCTGTCTTAGGTTGTTCCTCCCTTGAGGAATCTTACCCGTCTCTGGCTAACCAGTCATCTTCCGGGGCCATACAGGGAAATGTAAAGTTGGTAAGTGAGAGAGAAGCCATATTGTTTGAAAAGGTTAGCTTTTTACTTCTTTGCAGATTTATGCCCTGTGGCTTCTATGCCCAGCACTTGTCTCGAGGTATCTTTACCACCTGGAGGAATTATGATACTCGGTAAATTCGATATGAGGCACGAATTCTATTTAAGGGTTGTAATTAGGAAGGAAGAAGAAAAGCTATAGAGGTAGCAGACAGAAGAAAACATGGGAGGATTGATTATTTCTTTGACATATCTTCTTGTAGAGTAACTTAAGCATGTATAGGTTTTAAACTACTAATTAAATTGCACACACACATTAACATAATAGGAATACAGTTACATAACCAAAGCAGATCTATAATTACCAGCCATCTCCAGTGAAGCCAAGAAAACCAGTTAGGCACCCTAGGCATTTGTGAAAATTTGTCTATGATATGATGGATATTGTCCAACTGTACTTGAACAGTCTGAGAGAAATCAGACAAATTAAAACAACCCATTCCTGGGAACTGTTCACATCCCATATGTTCTTTTAACAGTAGATAGTCTGTAGTTGTAAGATTTTGGAGTGCTACAACTTGCACTTCTCCTAATTCTTGGTTGAGTTCCAACAGTATAGATCCAGTCAAATTTGTTGTTTTCCTGTATGCACAGGCCAGCTTAGATATCTCCTCCTTCATTCCAATGGCAAGTCCAGGAACCGGTGGGATGAATGCAGCTACAACTGCAGCATCACCTGGATCTTTGTTGAGGTTTTTTGATGATCATCTTCTGGTTGTAATGACTTACAATTTAATGTCCAGAGAACTCTAAAGAAAAACTGAGGTTATCTCCATCTATTCCAATTCCTTTTCTCCCCTTTACAGTCTTATGAAGGTTTCACATGAAAAAACAATGTGGTTACTGCATTTACCCATGTTACCAAGTCCTCACGCAGACCCCAGTGCAGTCACTGCCCATCAGTGTAGTGAGATGCCACAGATTCAGTGTTTGCCTTGTCAGTGCTACAGTGTTTTCCCCGTAACCCCCCACACCATGCACACCAAACATAATACCCCTCAATCCCCTTCTCCCTCCGTCCCCACCAGCCCTCCCCCACCCCTCCCCTTTGATAACCACTAGTCCCTTCTTGGAGTCTCTGAGGCTGCTGCTATTTTGTTCTTTCCATTTTGTTTCGTTGTTATACTCTACAAATGAAGGAAATCATTTGGCACTTGTCTTTCTCTGCCTGGCTTATTTCACTGAGCATAATACCCACTAGCTCCATCCACATTGTTGCATATGGTAGGATTTCTTTCTTTCTGATGGCTGAATAGTATTCCATTGTGTATATGTACCACCTCTTCTTTATCTATTCATCCACTGATGCACATTGAGGTTGCTTCCATATCTTGGCTATTGTAAAAAGTGCTGCAATAAAAATAGGGGTGCCTATGTGTTTTTGAATCTGAGAAGTTGTATTCTTTGGGTAAATTCCAAGGAGTGGGATTCCCCGGTCAAATGGTATTTCTATATTTAGTTTTTTGAGGAACCTCCATATTGCTTTCCGCAATCGTTGACCTAGCTTACATTCCCACCAGCAGTGTAGGAGGAGTCCCCTTTCTCTGTATCCTCACCAGCATTTGTTGTTCTTAGTTTTTTTATGCTGGCCATCCTTACTGGTGTGAGGTGATATCTCATTGTGGTTTTAATTTGCATTTCCCTGACGATTAGTGATGTGGAGCATCTTTTCATGTGTCTGTTGGCTATCTGAATTTCTTCTTTGGAGAACTGTCTCCATAACCTCTGCCCATATTTTAATCGGGTCATTTGCTTTCTTGGGTGTTGAGGCATGTGAGTTCTTAATATATTTCGGATGTTAACCCCTTGTGAGATATATTATTTACAAATGTATTCTCCCATACTGTAGGATGTGTTTTTGATCTGCTGATGGTGTTCTTTGCCATACAGAAACTTTTTAGTTTGATGTAGTCCCATGTGTTCATTTTTGCTTTTGTGTCCCTTGCTTGAGGAGATGCATTCAGGAAAAAGTTGCTCATGTTTATATTCAAGACATTTTTGCCTGTGTTTTCTTCTACAAGTTTTATGGTTTCATGACTTGCCTTCAGGTCTTTGATCCATTTTGTGTTTACTTTTGTGTATGGGGTTAAACAATAGTCCAGTTTCATTCTCTTGCATGTAGCTGTCCAGTTTTGCCAACACCAGTTGTTGAAGAGGCTGTCATTTCCCTGTTGTATGTCCATGACTCCTTTATTGTATATTAATTCACCATATATGGTTAGGTTTATATAAAGGCTCTCTAATCTGTTCCATTGGTCTATGGGTCTGTTCTTGTGCCAGTACCAAATTGTCTTGATTACTGTGGCTTTGTAGTAGAGCTTGAAGTTGGGGAGCATAATCCCCCCAGCTTAATTCTCCCTTCTCAGGATTGCTTTGACTATTTGGGGTCTTTTGTGGTTCCATATGAATTTTAGAATGATTTGCTGTAGATCATGAAAGTTGCTGTTGGTATTTTGATAGAAATTTCATTGAATCTGTAGATTGCTTTAGGCAGGATGGCCATTTTGACAATGTTAATTCTTCCTATCAGTGTGAACGGGATATGTTTCCATTTATTGCCATCTTCATTAATTTCTCTCATGAATGTCTTGTAGTTCTCAGCGTATAGTTCTTTCACTTCCTTGCTTAGGTTTATTCCTAGGTATTTTATTCTTTTTGGTACAACTAAGAATGGAATTGTTCTCCTGATTTCTCTTTCTGCTAGTTCATTGTTTGTGTATAGGAATGCAACAGATTTCTGTGTATGAATTTTGCATCCTGAAATTTTGCTGAACTCAAATATTAGATCTAGTAGTTTTGGTGTGGATTCTTTAGGACTTTTTATGTACAATATCATGTCATCTGCAAACAGGGATAGTTTAACTTCTTCCTTGCCAATCTGGATACCTTTTATTTCTTTGTGTTGTCTGATTGCCTTGGCTAGGACCTCCAGTACTATGTTGAATAGAAGTGGGGAGAGTGGGCATCCTTGTCTTGTTCTCAATCTTAAAGGAAAAGGTTCCAGCATCTCTCTGTTAAGTGTAATGTTGGCTGTGGGTTTGTCATATATGGCCTTTATTATGTTGAGGTACTTGCCCTCTATTTATGGAGTTTTATGTTAGAAGGGATGCTAGATTTTTTTGAACCTGAAATGTTAAGTGACTTTATGTATATATTTTACATACAAATTTAACAGCTGTCAAACTGTAATTCATTAGTCTCTGTATTATATAAGGGATAATTTAATATATTTAATATTTTATAATTTAGATTAAATAATGATTGACAGGCATCCTATATTAACAATTAATTTTAAGATATATTACTCCCTGGTTATGTTTTTAATAAAGATCATTTTATTAAGATTCAGCATTTACAAATATTATGAACTATTACTGATAGATGCTTTTAAACTTAATTTTAGGGTTATGTCTATATGCTAGAGAGATGAATAAATCTATACGTAGGTTTTTATTAAATTAGAAATTTGAAAGCACAGCTTGATAGAAGATTTTAAAAATATTTTGTAAACAAAAAGAAGTTGCAAGAAAATTTATTAAATATTGGAGTATAACTTAATGAAGAGATAATGAGTTAGTTTATAAAATTTTAAAATTATCTGTTATTTTGAATAGAAAGTACATACTGGTTATACTGACACTGACATATTCCTCTGTTTTGCCCCCACACATACAGAAGAATATATGACATTTGAGGTAATATAACATTGGCTGACATTTGTACCTTAACACGAGGCAGAAATTGTAATACAACCTCTATACGTTCTCATTCAGTACTGATACAACTTGTATGTGGTTTATCTTATTTTAAGGGGATAACTAGTAGTCCCTATAATTTGTTTTTTAAACTACACAGGTATAGGAAATAGTTGTCTTCAGAAATTTTCAAGTTTGATTTTATATTTTTATAGGCTTTTCCAATAACAAATTTGAAGAAGCTGATCGTTCTGCTTTCTGGAGAGGTAAGTTCAGTGTTTTTTGTAATGACTTTTAAAATTTAATGTCCAGGGAACTCTAAAGAAAAACTGAGGTTATCTCCGTCTATTCCAATTTCTCTTTTTTCTTCACACTCTTATAAAGGTTTCACATGAAAAAACAATGTGGTTACTGCATTTACCCATGTTACCAAGTCCCCACCCAGACCCCAGTGCAGTCACTGTCCATCAGTGTAGTGAGATGCCACAGGTCCACTATGTGCCTTCCCTGTGCTTTGTAGCTCTTTTTTAACTAAAAATTTTTTCCATGGAAATAGATTTTCTTATTACAGAAATACATACCAGGCCAATGAATGTATGTATACTAAGCAAATAATCTAAACATCAAACCCCAAGCCGACAGAATACCTTTAAATGTAGAGGTAAAAAGAAATAAAATGATTCGAAAACCTACCCTCCAGATTTAGTCACTGAGAGTCTATTGACTCTGTACAACGATCCATGAAACCATCTCATTTCCCAAATGTAGCTTTGCTGAAATCTTCTAGAAAGCTTAAAGTTATTACTAAAAGTTTTATTAATAACAATTTTTAAATTTTGAAAAATTATTCATTTCTTGCAATTACTCTATACTTCTAAAATCAATATCTCTCGTGGTGGGTGCTAGGAGTTTATTTTTAACCAACTTTCCAGATAATTCTCAAGATTCTTCAGTGTAGTGATTCTTACACCATTAGTTAGAAAACATGGCAATGTTACTTGATAATGTCATTAAAAACAGAAAAGCCAGGATGTCCCCAAATTCTTTCATTAGGATGAATGGGGAAAAGTTTGTGTAGTTTAAAAAACTACTAATGCTTCAGGTTTATGAACAAGGGCAAATTTTAGAAATAATGGCATTATAAAATCACGTGGTTTGTGGATCGTATTTAAGAACCATTTGACTACTTAGTAGTATAGGTACTTCTGAAACTATTTTTAGTGAAACTGAAATTTGTGAAATTCTTATTTTTTGGTTGGTGTCTAGATTTGGCAAATAGTGGGTTCTCAGTTTAACATTTAACATTTAGATATATTAGTTAATTTGAATAGGGTATTGATTGGATAATGTCTATATTTCTGCTGCTAAAGTTATTTCAAGAATTAAAAAATTCGTATTTTAACTTAGGAAAATATTAATTTTTCTTACCAGTCCATCTTGTGAAAGTGCTATTCTTTAGATATTATATTTTTAAAGTTAATTATTTAGATGATATTCACATGTTAAGTTTTTATTCGAGTCTAATAATGGCAGTGAAGATAATCAAACACGGAACAGAGGGTTTTCCAGGAGAGGCGGTAAGGGCCATGTTTTTGAACAATTTTTACTTGAAACAGAAATGCTAAAACTGACAACTGATTTTGGAAGGTGAAAGAAGAATTGTGGTGGTGAAAACCTTTGAAGAAAAATATTTGGCTTATGTTTCATGCTGTTAATACGTGAGTGAAGTTCAGTTGGTATCCCTTCTTGCACTCTCTAACGTCACTGGATTCTTTTTCTAAAATCTCCAGTCTGTGCTGTGTAGTACAGAAGAGAACTGTGTGAATCTTGGTGTGAGTCACCAAACACATGAACTGGGATGTTTTTGTTTGTCTGACTAGGGTCATTGGCAGTGTCAGGGAGGGAAGAAATTGCATGTTATTTTCTGTTCAAGTCTAGCAGTAGTCTACCATACTCTGCTCATCCTGTCTCTAATGAAGTTGAGGTGAGATGGTACAAAAATTATCATGCCTAATTATTGATAATCTATGGGCCAATGTGGACAATAGTAAAACCCACAAAAATCATACTGAACTTAAAAAATTGCTACAGATGTACAAATCTGCCTACGATAAGAGAGTTTATTGTTTGGAACCCTATGGTAATGAGATATATCAGTGTTTTTGCTGCACGTTGGGGATATACCTTTCCTTTCCTCATTAGATGGTTAGCTCATTGAATAGCAGGTCCCCTATCCCTCCGGTGAAGCTGGGACTTGCTGTGAATTTCAGTATAGCCTTATTAGGGCTGTAAGGTGACGAGGACTTTGGTGATGAAAGAGGAATGGCTCTTCATCTCATAAACTGAGCCTTTATATGATAATGTCAGGGAGCCATGTAATGATGGGGAGGAACTTAGTTGAGAAAAAGCAGATTCCTCTCTTAACATTGCATGTTCCCCCCTTAACAGGCAATTTTTGGCACTTAATATTCCTAAGACATGGCTCTTATTTTGAAAGTTTTGGTTTCTTGCAGAACAACAAATACCTTCCTTGCTATTATATTTTTAAACTAAATTTAATTCAAATTTGAGGTAGTCAAAAGCCAGTTGCAGCTCTGTGTGCTTGATCCTGGCTTATTGAGTAAAGTAGGATGACTAGCAGAGGAACAGTCATTTTTAGGGTATCCCTCATTGCTGTTCTCTGCATTGTATACATTTGCACAGAGTGGCCACTCAGTAAATATGTGTATCATATGTATCTAAGTTTGTATTGAAGTCTGACATGATATAGTAGTGGAAAGGAACATACATCAAATCTATAGCTATGGTTTTTCACTTACTGAACTTGTGTTCGGTAGGTTGACAAGCATCCAGATCAAGAAATAGGAATTACTAGCACCTGAGAAGTCCCTTTCATGTTATTTTCACTAACAGCCCCCACCTCCATGGTTAACCTCTATTCTGACTTCTAGAAGCATAGACTAATTTCGTCTATTTTTGTATGTAATATAAATAGAATCATATAATACATACTCGTGTCTGGCTTTTGCTTAATGTATTTGTGAGATTTGTCATTTTTGGTTGCAGTTGGAGATCCTTATCATTGTCATATGGTGTTCTTTTATTCTGTTCTGCTATTGATGGTTATTTGGTTTCTTTCAGTTTTGGGCTATTTTGAAATTGCTGGTGTGGATATTGCAGTACATTTCTTTGGCGACACGGGTATATATTCAGATGTAGAATTGTGTGGTCATAGTTTTGTATGTTTTGGGCATTAATAGCTCTTCTAAAATATTTTCAACGTAGATATGCTAAGGTACACTCCCACATTTGCACCAATACTTGGCATTTTCTTTTTCTTCAATTTTAACTTGCTGAGTGTGTATCCCATTGTGGTTTCAATTTGCGCTTCCTTGAGGGACTGATGAGATGTGCAGTGATTCGTATATTTATTGGCCACCTGGGCATCGTCGTTTTTGTAGTGCCTGGTCAGATCTTTTGTCCACTCTTCTGTTGGATGTCTGCAGAGAAAATGGAAGCTCCATGGCCCAGATTCTCACCCTGGCCTACTTGCGCACTGCGCATGTGATGCTCTCAGGTGCAGTCTTGCACACGTGTGGGCAGTAAGTTAGTACTGCCTCTATATAGAGAGCTCCACCTAGTGCTCTGGGGCTGCAAGGGGCGAGGCGCAGAGGCAGAGAGCAGCCTGCTGCCTGCACACTTGTCCTGAGGCAGATGGGGTTCTAGCGCTTGGCCTGCCACCATCAGAATAAAGCTGGGTATAAGTGGGAGTGAGGGGTTCGGCTCTGGAGAAAAATGAGTGTGTTGACACAATGTGAAGTTTTTGGGGCAGAAATAGTGCTACCTTCAGGAGGTGATTTGACTTTGGCTTTTATCATATTTTGGCATAGCATTGGCCCTAACTTCTCTTATAATATAATCTCAGTGAAGTAAAAATACTGAGGAAGGAATTTGAAATTGAAGTAAATAATTTGTGGAGAAATTCTTTGTGCAGTACTTGGAAAAATACTCATTGTGATTTCTTTTAATTACAGTATTTTACCCCGAATATTTAACTTCAGATACCACAACTTGATTTCTTCTCTTTACTTTATGATTTAAAAAGTTTGTAAAAGTAACATAATCTAATTTTAGTGTTTATGAATCTAGGTAGCGAATATGAACAAGATGAGGGGACACAGCCCACTGGTGGCGTTTTTGGTTCTAGAAGACCAGCATTAAGTGGTGCAGGTGAGAAATCGAATTTATTACTGAATATTAATCATTTGTATATGCTTTTAGCTCTAGGATTAGTACGCCTAAAATATATTTAAGTATATTAGATTGGCTCCTGATTTTCTCTCCTTTTTGTATCTGTAGGCAAAAACGCATGAACAATTTTGCCTGTGTTATATAATTTGTACACTGTTAATTATTTCTTCTCTTTTATCTACCAGTTAGTTTGGGGTATAAATCATAATTTTAATTGGAGGAAGGAAAATGAGGTTTGTGCTGGTTTCAAACAAAGGGTTTTTGAGGACACAACGAAAAAACAAACGATTGATGAAATGTGTACAAACGTGGATAAAGTGTGATTTATCCAAATAATAGAATGTTACTCCGCATTAAAAGGATATGAGCTATCAAGCTGTGAGAAGATATGGAGGAACCTTAATTTCATATTACTAAGTGAAAGAAGCCCATCTGCAAAGGCTACAGGCAGTATAACTCCAACTATATGACATTCTGGAAAAGCCACAGCAATGGAGAAGGGTAAAAAAAGATCAGAGGTTGCCAGGGGAGGGATGAATGGGTGCAGCATGGAGACTTAGGGCAGTGAAAATACTTTGTATGGTACCATAATGACAGACACATGTCATTATCAGTTTGCCCACATCCATAGAATGTACAATACCAAGAGGAAGACCTAATGTAAACGATGGACTCTGGGTGATGATGCGTGATGAGTGTAGGCTCATCAGTTCTAGCCAGTGGACTACCGTGGCGGGGGATGTTGGTAGTGGAGGAGGCTGTGCAGGTGTTGGGGCAGGAGGTATATGGGAAAGTTTTGTACCTTCGCCTCAAGTTTTCTGTGAGCCTGAAATTGCTCTAAAAAAGGAAGTCTTTAAACAAAACATTCAAATGAGGAAAAGGTTTAAGTCAAATGTAGAATTAAGAGATGGGTGGATGAAGGGACTAGGAATCCTGAGTAATTACACAATATTTGAAGAGAAATCGCTATATGGTTTATGTGCTGGGGGAGGAGCTGTGTTTTCTCTTAATATTCTGCAAAACAATGCTTTACAAGTCACGGTGACACTTACCAAAGCAGAGGGAGCGGAGGAAGTCGACGAGGTGCGTCCTCACTTGGTTTACCTTTAAGTGATTAAACCTACTGTAAGCCAAGTTTAATGTTTGAAGTTAATGGTAGCTGTTTGTGCTTTAATATACTCTGAGGAGTATACAGATTCACAGCCTGTTTTTGAGAGTTACTTAACTCTCTTCAATCCAGCAATTGCAGTAGAGGAATTCCATACTGTAGATGTATTTGCTCAATACATTTATGAGAGGTATTCACTGAAGCTGCCATTTATAATAAGTAAAACGTGAAAATTGCCTATAATTCATCAGTAAATAACTGTTTAATTAATATAACCATAAAATGGGAGACTGTGCAAACGTTAAAAACTGAGGTATATGCATATGTATAAATCCTTGTATGAAAACAGTATGTCTTTTCTGGTGAGATAGTTATTTGATTTGATATAAGGAATAAAGAAATACAGTATATATGATTTTGTATTATGACAATTATTTTCTGTGCAGAGTACTTAAAGGCAGAGTTAACTTTTTAAAATTTTAAGTAAAAACTTTAGTGGTAAGCAAGGAAAATTCTACAGTATTAAAAATTGGACTTGGTTAGGTTTTTGTGTTTCCTTTTATTTTTCTTCTCGTTCTTATAGTGTATATTGTTTTTTATTTAAATTTCAAGGACCTAAAGTAACCTATATACCACCTCCTCCACTTGAGCATGTGGACTCCATGTTTGCACATTATCAACCAGGGAGAAACTTTGACAAATACGATTGTATTCTTGCAGAGGTATCTGGATCCAATACACCACCACCAATTCTGGTCAGTGTAATAATTATTTCTGTATTGACTATGTAGCAGACTTTGGTTTTCAGACATGTGGTACTTTAAGTTCATATTAAAGAATACAAAAATGTCATCTTTAGTATCTAATGACAGCTTGGAAAGTTAGAGCCATGTCTGCCATCTACAGTAGAATTAATTGCTATATTGAAAGAAAAGGTACATCCCTACCTCCCCAAACCAGGATGAGAACTTTATTTTAATTTACTATAAGGGCACTTGTCCTGGGATTTCTGAGTATGTGACAAAGTTATGTCCTAGGGTCTGGTTTTCTAAGTGCCGGAGCCTACAGTCCCCTGTTGGTAATGAGTGATCGTCACTGATCAGAGTTATTTGTATCTCACAGGTTCTAAGCGGGCAGAAAAAAGTGCTTCTAGATCCACTGTCCATAGGGAACACTCCTTAATTGTACCAAGTAATAATATACAGGCTCTGGATATTACTTGTGAGTGAGGGCCTATTGGTAAAGTAACTTTGGTGTGTAAAGTGTAATTAGCAAAAACCTGAAACTAATTCAGATGGAATATGTTTATGATGTATGGAATTTAATCACTGCTTTTTTTTTTAGACTTTTAAAGAAGCGAATCTCTGTCAGACACTGAATGACAACATTGCTAAAGCTGGTTATTCTAAGCTTACTCCTGTGCAGGAATACGGTATTCCTGTTACCCTGGCAGGACGAGATTTGATAGCTTGTGCGCAAACAGGGTCTGGAAAGACTGTAAGTCATTTTGCCACATGGGTTCTGCCCCCTATTCAAACTATTGAATGTTTCGAACTTTGGTTCCTCCCAAGTAGCTTGACTGTCTTTTATTGGATAGAAGCTTTGTACATGATTTCAATGAATTGTCGTAAATAATCGTGGTTTTGCTTCTGATTTCTGGTTTTATTGGGGTTTGTGTACTTCTGAAAAAAACTTTTGAACTATTTCTAGAGTAACGTTGCCGTTCATAGATGTTTAGTCTGTTTCTAAGCGTGCTCAGCTCCTTCTGGATCTTGGTAGTGTACCTGAAACAAAACAGTTGAGGGTCAAAGCACCAGAAGTGACAAAACAGAGGAAGAAAGTGATTTATGTAATACAGTTGATACAGTTTTGGAGTCCAAAGAATGAGAAATAGCTATACTCGTTGTACCTGGTTCTCAGTATGAAGAATAATATATGAGATTATATATGTATATGTGCGTGTGTATATATAAATAAAATAAGGATAATATAATAGTACTCTCCGTTTATGCTATCTGAAAGAACTCTGATGAAACCAGGTAGGATTTAGGACTAATCTGTGTCATTTGTCTACTAAATATAAGGTTCCATGAGATGAGTAATAGAGACTGTCATTTCCAGATCATAGAGTTGTGGTTCATACTATTTTAGTCTTAATCGGCCTCCACAGTAGAGTAGAAGGGAAAATAGGTGAGTTGTGTAATATAGCAGCTGATATGTGACTTAAACATTGTTTTAGAGGTAGACTTTAGCATCATATTAACTTAAGGAAAACTGTAGCAGTACATTTCTCTTGCAACTGAAATACCCAGTAGAGCTGGTTTTTGGGAGGCAAATTCCCTCAACTTTTGTTTTTCTGGGAATTTTTTAATCCCTCCTTAATATTGAAATGATAATTGTGCTGGATACAGTATTCTTGGGTCAAGGCCCTTCTCTTTCATTGCATTTAAGATATCATGCCATTGTCTTCTGGCCTGTAAGGTTTCTGTTGAGAAGTCTGATGATAGCCTGATGGGTTTTCTTTTGTAGGTGACAGTTTTCCTCTCTCTAGCTGCCTTTAAAACTCTGTTCTTGTTGTTGATCTTTGCCATTTTAATTATTATGTGTCTTTCTGTTGTACTCCTTGGGTCCCTTCTGTTGGGAGTTCTGTGTAACTCTGTGGTCTGATCGATTATTTCCTCCCCTAGTTTGGGGAAGTTTTCAGCCATTATTTCTTCAAAGACACTTTCTATCTCTTTTTCTCTCTCTTCTTCTTCTGGTACCCCTATAACGCGGATATTGTTCCTTTTGGATTGGTCACAGATTTCTCTTAATATTGTTTCATTCCTGGAGATCCTTTTATCTCTCCCTGCATCAGCTTCTATGTGTTCCTGTTCTCTGGTTTCTATTCCATCAGTGGCCTATTGCGACTTACCCATTCTGCTTATAAATCCTTCCAGAGATTGTTTCATTTCTGTAATCTCCTTCCGTGCGTCATCCCTTAGCTCTTGCATATTTCTCTGCAGCTCCGTCAGCATGGTTATGACCTTTATTTTGAATTGTTTTTCAGGGAGATTGGTCAGGTCTTTGTCCCCAGATTCCTTCTCAGGGGAGACTGTCTGGGTTAATCTGGTCTGTATCAAATTTTTCTGCACTTTCATGGTGATATAGGTAGTTGCTGGAAGATGGCGCGTATGTCAGCTGGGAGAACGTCCCTTCTTGCTGGTTTGTGGCCTTCCTCTCCTGGGAGAACAGCGACCTCTAGCGGCTTCTGCTGGGCAGCCGCATGCAGACCGGGCCTCTGATTCTTGCTTGTCTGCTGTGGAGTTAAGTTCCGCGGTTGGTATGGGCGTGGCCAACCTCAGTCTGCTGCTCCATTATGGTGGAGCCGCGTCAGAGGGGAAACAGGCGGGAGGCTGATTATCACCATGAGGGGCTTCCGAGCTGCACTGCTGCCCAGGGGGTTTGGGTGCCCGGAGTTCCCTGGGATTCCCAGCCGCTGGTCTAAGTGTCCCAGGACGCTTTCGTCCAGCGGTGGGGTCCCTGTCCCTTTAAGACTTTCAGAAAGCACTCGCTTTACTTTGTCCCAGGGGCGCCGGCTGCGGGGACCCGCTCACAGGTCTTACTGTCCTGTTTCCCTAGCATCCAGCACACCACGCACTGTGTGTCTGTGCTCTGCTGTGGATGGCTAGGGCTGGGTGTTTAGCAGTCCTGGGCTCCCTCTCCCTCCCCACTCTGACTCCTCTAACACTGGGGAGCTGGGGCGAGGGGCGCTTGGGTCACGCCGGGCCACGGCTTGTATCTTACCCCATTCCCAAGGCGCTGGGTTCTCGCAGGTATGGATGTAGTCTGGCTACTAGAAAAGAGAAAGAAGTCCTCAGGGTTTCACTTAAATAGGAAAACTGGGTTACTCTTCTTATTTGTCTTATTGATGTCTATGGTCACCATAAACTGGAACTTTTAACTGTAGTAATTAACAAAATCCCAAGGCATTTTGAGGATGCACTTTCTGTTTTTAATAACTCAGAAAAGTATTTGGGTAACTCTAAACCTTTATAAAGGTGGTGGTGAAGTCATTTTAGTGTCTTTTGTGAACGAAATTTTAGAAAAAATCTTACCTGAAGATACCTAACTTAGTGCAGTCCCTCCAACTTTGGGTTTATTTAAAGGAAATTATTTGAATGAATATCATGACCTGCAATATAATGCAGTCAGTTAATTATAAGGTATCATCTGTAATTTTAGGTCAGTTTTCATTCTTAAGTTATTGAATTCTGATTTTCAGAGTTCTATTCTGAAAGTTTTGGCCTAAATAGAAGCTTATGTGAAGGGAAATAAAGGAGTAGATTAATGATGATAAGGACACCATAGGAGGTAAAAGTGAGAGAAAAAAGTTACTCAAGGTTTGTTAACCCAGACACACCCTAAGAAATGTTGGAAGAGTCCAAAATTAAGTTGACATTTAGCTACTGATGCTATTAAAGTTGAATTTTCTGAGTTCAACAACCATTATACTATTGTAAAATGCTTCAGTATTAATAACAAATAAATTTGGAGGAGGGGACTAAAGAAGAGAAAAGGGCCAGTCAGGATTTAAGATGAAGGGCAATCTCCAGCTATTGCTGCAAAAAGTTTGATTGAAATTAACCATGAGTATCCTGACCCTGTAGGTGACATACACCACTTCACTGCATTTGTAGTGCACCTGCAACATACATACACACATACATGCACACACTCAAACGCACATGGTTTTTAGTGCATGTGTGAGGTTTTATTTTAGAGTGAATTCCTTCTATAAAAATGTGAACACAATTTGTTTCACTTTATTTAAACACAACTGAAAAGTTTCAGGAGTAAATTTCTGTAGTACTTTACTATGGAAATTGTCTGCTATTCTCCTGTGCCCTACTTTCTGTGCAGTGTTGATGAGTATACCGTGAAATACCAAAAATTGTGTTGTATATTGGCAGGTGTTGATTTATTCATATATTTCTTTGGTCATATTTTATTTAATAATAGTATTTGCTTGTACTTTTCAGGTTTTTGGGTGGCTAAACCTAAGTCAAGTGTCAGCAAACTCTTTCCAGAAGGGCCAGATTAGATTTTGCAGGCCTTATGGTATCTGTTGCAACTTTGCTATCGTAGTGAGAGAGCAGCCGTAGGTATACTGAGGGTGGCAGTGTTCTAGTAAAACTTTATTTACAAAAACTTGTGGCCCACCAGATTTAGCTCATGGCTGCAGTCTGCCGACCACTGTTTTCAGTGATATATTAATATGCTATACATGTAATGTTAAAGCTAACGAATGTTAATTTAAAAGTTATTTATGTTAATAAAGAAATATCCAGTGACCCAGAAGATCTTCACTCTGCTATTTTGTTTTGAATAAAACCCAGTTGTTAAATTTTTCTAGTATTTGTGAGTTAGACGACCCATTCTCACTATTCAAAGATATACTGGTATTTTCTTCCTTGTTACAGGACACATATTCTTCTGGAGCAAATGGAGACACTTCTAACAGGACTCCAGCCTCATCAGCAGGTATGTGTTAAGCCAAAGAGGTGGAACCCTTTCTAGGTTAAGGCTTCACCTAGTTAATGAGCAGAGTAGTAGACATCTTGTAGAGGTTATTTAAACAATTTCCTAGTGAGAATTCACTCTGACGTGGATGTTTAGGGATGGGGGCCATTCTAGCTAGAGAAAGGTACAGTGGAGAGAGTGTAGTACTATAAACTATGTTATTTGATTTAGTGTGTTTCCTGTAAACATCTTTGCCCAGCTAGGATGTTGCGCATTTGGCTTTCAGGTTGCTAGGGAAAAATATTAGGGTTCCTGACACAAGGGAGGAGGAGATTGGACTCTAAGTTTGATGAGGCAGTGGTAGTGACCTGTCAGGACACCTGTTATTTAAACCAAACCTAACATACCATCGAGATTTCATGACTTCTTTGGGATCTGAACACTGATTTGGGAAATGTCCTAGGAGAATAAGAGAAGCAAGTCAGGATAAGGGAGCCACTGGTTTTCCCCCACCTGTTTCCACTGGGTTGCCTCAATATTTTATAGAGTTGATGTGGATGGGAAGAAGGGTGCAGGTGGTAAGACTTGGACTAGGAAGTTAAACTCATGGTTAGTCTTCCATTTTGTTTAAGTCCAAAGCAGGCTGAAATGGTAGTTCTATATATTTTCAATTTTTTTTTTTGCTGTGGCAAAATAAACCTGAAATTTATTAACCATTTTTAACTATACAGTTCATTGGCGTTGTTTATTCACATTGTTGTGTAACCATCAACACCATCCACCTGTAGAACTTCTTCATCTCCCCAAACTGAAACTTGACACCCGTTAAACAATAACTGTCCATTCTCTTCACTCCCCAGCTCCTGGCAAGCCGCCATCCTACTTTCTATAAATTTGAGTTACTGATGAACTTACTACGAGTCTCTGAATTTGAGTTACTACTACTATTAAGTCTTTCTAGTGTAAGAGAGAGGGCCTGGTACACCAGGTAGTTT